TTGCCCTGCAGGTGTCTATGGACGACCACTCTGTGGCCCTTCACTGGACTCTTTCCAGTATGTCCATGTGTCTCTTGTACTGGGGAGCCCAGAGCTGGACCCAGCACTCCAGCTGGGGCCTCACCAGTGCTGAGCAGAGGGGAAGGGTCATTGCCCTCCACCTGCAGGCACTGCTGCTCCCAGTGCAGCCCAGGACACTTCTCTGGGACAAGGGCACATTGCAGGCTCACTCAGCCATTAAGCACACGTGGAGAGTGACCTCCAGCAGAAGGCAAGGCTGGGCAGTTAACTGGGAGCTGAAGGACAAGTGGGGCAGATATCCCCCCAACAAAGCAGGTTCACCACATGGGCAGCAGAGCAGGTGGACCCCCAGTCTGACTCAGAGCAGGCTTCCCTGTGCCTCCAGAGTTTCTGCCTGCCCCTCTCAGCCACACTTGATGCCTTTTCTGAGCTATGTGCTTGACCTTTTTACATACTGCACAGCAGGGACATTTGTTTTATTCCATGGACATCAGTTATTTGTGCCTGCAGTTGTCTATGGCTAGGTGCCAGCAAAGGTGATCTCAATGACTTTTAGATGATCTTTTCTTTTACATGAGGTCTATTTTTAGCAGATACTCAAACTAACTTTCCCCCCACCACACACGTGCATTTCCTTCACCTTGTTGACCATCTTTCCATAGGCACAAAGGGAAAGATCCCCTTTTTGTGGAGTTTTCCTGCTGCAGTTTAAAAAGCTCACTACTGGAGATGAGAAACAAGATGAACTCCATTTTTCTCATCAGCTGTAAACACTTAAAAAACAGGATACAGAGTTAGGAGGTCTTGGCCCATCAAAAGACCACTCCTGGATGGCAGCAGATGGTACCCAGGGTGGATGTGCAGCAAAAGCACCTTTCACAGAGCCTGAGCAGTGTACAGATGCTGTATGAAAAAAAAAAACACATCCCAGTTGAAATGAAATGTTGAAAAAAACAACCCAGTAAATTTGCTAGAAAAACTTTACCTTGGCAAAAGATGCAAAGTTACACCAGATTAGTTAACTGAGTTTCAGTCCTACCTTTGGAGCTGCTGTTGCTATTCCACAGAAATACACAGTTTACTGCTGTTATTCTATTTTTAGTTTTTCACTCTTGCAGTAGTAGTATCACACCTTTCTCAACTCTGCCTGGAGTTGTGCATCCACTACATTAAACTCTTCAGCAACAGAAGTAGCACCTCCCTGTCTGCAAGTCTCTAGAGCTGACCTTTCATACACAGGGAATCAGTCTGGAAACAAATCCACATGGCACCAAGTACGTGACAAATTGCCTAAAACATTTTATTTGACTTCGATTGGGATGACCTGAACAGCTCACTCATGGCTTCATCATCTCTGATTAATGCACTCAGCCAAGTGCAGGCCAGTAAAGCCCTTTCTGAAACCACGCTCCATTTGTTGGTATATGATGGTGATGTTCACATGACAGGAGTGGAGAGCTGGAGAACATGTGACTACCCAGCATATGTATTAGTAACACAAGATATTGCAGCCCTACAGTCCTATCCCTCCTGCTTCCTGATTTATCCCTCACAAATTCTTATGTAACTCTGAAAATCCTGACAAGGTTTTCTTGTGCCAAACTGAAAACAGCATCACAGCAATATTCAGTATTTTTTCTGCCTCTTTCAGAGTTGACTTCATAATTCTTTATTATCACAGTCTAAATCTGTCCTGGGCTGCAGCATAAGATAGGTCAGATTTAGTCCACTCCTGGCAATCAAATTTCTGCAGATAAAAATTCTCCCTCTTCCACTACAGTGAAGGTGGTTGTTTAAACACTGACTGAGCAAAAACTATGAACTTTATGTAACTGGGAAATGGATACCCAGGTGCCATCCAGCAGCCCTTGAAGGAATGCAAGGAATCTGAAAGTAATTCTTCTTCATAGGAAAGTTATTTTAACTGGTTTTAGAGGATTTCCCCCCTCCCCCCTTTTTGGTCTTTTTAATTTCATTTTGATCACATATCCACAACATCACATATCCTGTCTAGGTCTGAGGGATTCTAAAGGGAGATCTTCAAACAAAGCTGTCAGGTTTTGAAATTAGTACTTTAAACTTCCTGGTGTCTTTAGTGTCACAAAACCAATATTACACAGTATAAGTTTGGTTGCTTTGGTTTGGTTTTGTTTTGTTTTAATTGGAACTTATTACACAGTATAAGTTTGGTTGTTTTGGTTTTGTTTTGTTTTAATTGGAACTGATGTATTTAACTTGGGGTTTCTTCCCCAGTAATCTGCCAATGGAATCACCACAAATTCATGACAACAAAACGTCCTTACTGAAGTACCAAGTGTTTCTCTCCTTCAGACCCAATACTCATATGACAATAATGAAAGGAAAAGAAAAAGGAATTTATTCACTTGAGTTGTATTTAACTGTATGCCTCATGAATTAAGATTTTTCTATGTATCTGCAAGACAGAAGAGCATATAAACAATACCACAGCTTTTACTGGCACAAACCTAGTACAGTCATATGATTCCTGCTTGCCTCAAGTATAAACTATAGAGGTCATTTTAAAATGGTACAACAAAATTTACAGCATGCCATGACATATTTTCTTCATATCTTTTTTCTTTGCACACAACATTATTTTAAAATTTAAATACATTCCAAATGTATAGTTGGATAAAAACTATAAGCAAAGATCAAGCCCATCACAAAACCAGAGTATCCAGATTCCAGAAGCTGCTTGGAAGATAATTTTTTTAGTCATTTCTTATATGCCTACTGAGGGACTGATCTGGAGTAAAATGAAATCAAAAGAATCAAAATTCTGGCCTTGGTTAGGTGCAGCAGTAGAAGTCTTACTGATTTCAGTAGGGCCAAAATTCCATCTACAAGGATTACTTCATTTGACCTAAATGTGCTTTGAATCAATCCCTAATAGCCTTTGAGAGGCAAATGGTTTCTTTCATTTAGGATTAACTCATAGTATGCTCTCTGGTGTGGTCAGATGTTGCTGGGTTTTTACATCCAATTACAAGGTGATTAAATAATTTGCAAAAATCAAAACACCCTTCTACTCTTTTAATACGTCTTAAAAAAAATTTCTTTTAAATGGTTATAAAATACAGTGTTTGACACTGGCAACAGAGATGACTTATTACTGCTTACTGTGGCCAATATGTTCAGGAACTGCTGGAAACACAATTCCTCTTGGAGCAGAAAGGACTCCAAAAGGTCTTAACTTGAGACTCAACACAGACTTTGAGACAGCTGTTAGTTCAGGTGTTTTCAGCACAGCTCCCTCAGTCTATCCAGTGGTCAGAACACTAAGGAGCAGTCAAGGGGTGAGATGTGAAATCAGTGAAGTCAAGGTTCAGGAGACATATTTAGCAGAGAGATGCTGGGTCTTGTCTGCTCTCTGAATCAGGAGCACTGGATGCAGATGAACTGTAATGTAGGCACTTCAGAAAAGAAGTGGCTTTTAGCCATGCTGACACTGTCAAAATTATCCTTGCATCATACTGCTTGAGTTTAAAAATAAATTTTTGTTTGAGTAGGACTGCAGAAGTGGAGGTGAAGCCTGACCCCATGCAACAGAAAAGCATCTCTGAAGGATCCTCCCCCTTGGACAGATGCATCTCAACCAAGAAGGAAAGATAGCACCAGTTTCTTGTACCTCTGACTGGTTTGTGCCTTCCCCCACCAGCATGAGGATAAAAGCTCTCTTGTACTACTGAGAAGCTCATCTGACCCTTTAATGAGCTGATTCAGCTCATTAACCTGACAAGGAATGACTCTTTTTTTGTTTGATATTTGCTGTGTTTGTTTCCTAGAACCAGAAGAAGGAGGACAGTGGGAGCATGTGTGCGTGGGTGGAACAGCTCTGCCTCTTTCAGCAGCAAAATTTTTAGATCAGCCTGTAAAATCTTAACCAGCTTCTCAAAAGGACTGTAGAACTTGACTTACAAAAGAAAAGAAAATCCCTTGGGGATTTATTAAAACAAAAAATTATGAAAGTGCTGTTTCTTGACAAGAAGCATGTTTCCCTTCCTGCCCTTCTCCTCACCCACCAGCTTTCCAACATAACCACCACCTGCACTGGGTTAATGGCATGGTTTATGGAGCCATTCTGCTCGTCAGATCACTGAAATTTTATCTCCATCAAAAATCATCTGCCCACCCTCAAAGCTGTTCTGCAGCCTGACCATTTAATTGCAGTGGTTCACAGGATGGCCTTCCAGTGAACAAGAACAGCCAAGCAGGCAGCCAACAGGAACATCATGACCTACAGATGGAAGGTTTCCTTTTATTAAGTTGTGAAGCTGATGTGACAAACAAGCCCAGCATACATCAAAGGCAAGGGAAGCTGCTGGCTGGGGACAAAATATGAGCATGAAGAATCTTAAATAGTTCACAGCTGAAGACAAGGCATGAGAAGGAGCTGAGGAACAAGAGGCAAAGCTCTCTGATGCTTCACAACACCTTTAGACTCAAATACGTAGCATGCATGTAGGACTGGATGTGTACATGCCATGTGTAATCCTCCAAGAAAAACTTCTTTTTTACTCCTAAATAGACTGGTTGAAATTAATAATTTCTAAGAGACATCTATAAATAGTTACAGGCCAAAAGAAAAAAATCCAAACCCTTAGCTGTAGAACTGCTCTCCCTGAACACTACAGATCATTTCCTCAAGCCTCTGACATTCACTACTGGCTGAGTACAGCAGTGATTTTGTAAGCCTAATTCACATGGTAATGAGCTCAAAAGCAGAAAACCTTCTCAGACTGCTTACCTCTTTTGCACTTTTGATTTTGGCCAGGAAAGTGTACAGTTCCATTGTTTCAGCAAACAGAGCCCGACACACCGCTTGATAGTGGTTTGGCGCCTCTGAGGGGGTCGGCAGGTGGGCAGCACACAGCTAGGGAGAAAAAGAAACAGCAACGTCACAATGGTGCCACGTGCCTTCCATCAATGCTACAGAGCATGAGATAGGACAGAAGAGAACCCAATGGAATATTTAGAGCACAAAAATCCGTGAGACATTTAAGTTTAGGCAGAAATTGGGGTGTAGTTTCTAAACCTTCTGCTACCACTTATTTAGTGAGAAAGGATGGTAAGGAGACTGCTTGACCATGTCCTGGAAAACTCTAAAAATCAAGATATTGCATTTTCATCAAATAACAAAAGAAAAAATAATTAGATGATACAACTGTGAAGGGGAATAAAGCCACCCTATGGTAGCAAATTTTGGGAAAAAAACACTTATTTCAAATCAACTTTGGCAGTAACTGTTGTTTAGCTTCCCATGAATGTGGGAGAGAACTGTATCCCTACTAATTTATGAAATGGTGGAGGGTGAAGTGAGGAAAATGGTAAAATGTGTGTTTCACCAAGCTGAAACTCACATTCAATGTATTTCAAGCAGTACACAGATTTTAAAAATCAGCAAGAGCCATGGAAGCACAGGCTCACTGCTTCACCTCAGACATCCGTGAACATTTCCAGACACAGGCAGAGCTGATGGAAAGGAATATTGATACATGTTTTCATACCCACTAAACCTGTAAAACTCTGAAAGCCTACTCAAACCACTAATAATCATTTACAACTATGGGTAAGCAGTCAGTCCAGCATTTCTTTTAAAGCAAAACATGCAGCTCCCATTTCCAACAAGAGAAGTTTCACCGAAACCAGCCTTTGTATTTCAGAGAACCTGAATGGCATGAACAACATCCAGCTTCATGAACATGAAGACCCAGCTTCTACTACTGTAGAATGGCTGGTGCATATATTAAAATAAAACAAAATCTTAACAAAGCCTTAAAATTTGTCCTGTTACTGTGGTTTTATAGTAGCTACTTATTAAATAGATGATAGCTGTATTTACAGCTACAGAGCTTAAACTAAGAACAAGCCAAAATCTGAGGCACTAGGTGGCTACATTCAGATCTCCAGAAATAAAACATTTCTTTATTTTTTTATATATGTATTTATACACACAGAGTTATTTCAGTGAATACTGTGGTTACAAGGGGCACAAGGGATGTAAAGCTCAGGCTGCCTTTTCATACTGCTCTCAGTTTGATTTAAAGCCCATTGCCACTAAAAGGTGTGGCCCTGAGGTCTCCAGCTGTCCACACCCACCAATGCCCTTATGCCAGCACCAACGTTCATGCCCTGACTCATGAGGGTCACTCACCCAGACACAAGTGAGCAATGAGAGGGGAGAGGAGCAGGAGCCAACGACTCTCCATGGCACAGACACACACATGGTGGGGAAAGGGAGGAAGGAGTATGATGACTTTTGGTTGCAGCCAGATTTAGATTGGCTCAATCTCTCTGACAAGCTGCTTTCAAAGATCACAGGCCCCTTGTTTTTTTGTTTGTTTGGTTGGGGGTTTTTTTAATTATTATTTCTTCCAATTAGTAGAACAATATGGAGTTTAATGGCCAGATTTGGACAACTTCATTGATAAACTTTTACAAGCACGGTTTGGACTCCTGCAATATCCTATTATGATTACTGTACTTATACATCTATCTCCTTTAGGTCATAGAAAAAGAATATATACATTTATAAGGAAAATTTACATATATGTGTGTGTGTGTCTATTATTTTCCTTCCTTCCTACATACTTTCCTTATATACTGTGAATACAAGGCAGAGATGTTCACAAAACTGCCTTTGGTTCCTCCCTTTTGAATGTTATAACTGCTTTCCAATGATGGCCAAAAGTTTCTTATACCACCCAAACTTATTCCTGGAAAATCACAAAGACACAGTTGACAGAAAAATTTTGTTTTGTTTTGTTTTCTTATGTTCCTTTTTAACAAATCATACAATCTCCTTTGCAGGTAAAGGGAGAAAACCCAAAACAGACGCACCTTTAATGTGTGTTAGAGTGACAACATACATTACAATGATAGAACCTATTAAATATTTACCTTGACTTCAGAAAAAAGTCAGAACATTAAAAAGACCAAATTCTGAGTATAGTTAATTTGTGTTCCTTTCCCTCACTCACATGCTCTACCTGCCATACTATGTTTCCAGTAAGCTGTTTCTGATTATTAATTACAGTACAGATAAGAAGAGTTTCATTCTAAAATACACCACTTAAAGGAATAACAAGAATAATAACAGCCATTTCAAAAAGGTCATAAAATGGTAGAAGTCCTCATAGCTGAGAACAAAAATCTTATTATACAGATTGCACACAGGTTTTTAAGAATGCTTTTCCCCCCTATATTCAGAAGCATGTTAATCAGAAAGAATTTGCATCAAATATTGAGAAAGTTAATGAAATGCAGCAGTAGCAAGTTCAAGCAGGGGATGGATATAATCTTGATTCTATTATTGAACATGAAGTAAAGCAACAAGAAATAATTAAATGCCTGCTGATGAACTCAGTGACAAAAGCAACCACATAAAAAGTTAACCATTTGGTTTGTAAATGTTAGGCTGCAGATATTAAAAGGGGGCCAGCAGCTCTTACTAAATTCCATGATCTGAAAAATCAGTCTCTGAGTGAGCTTGTATTATGTGAAGATGCCAAAAAAACCCTTGTGGTCACATGAACTCAACTGACTCAGCATCAGTTTTTGGTTGGAGAAAGTAAACCTGAAGAATAAGGAAAATGCAAATAGGACAGACTGATTTCCCCCTCCCCACCCCCCTTGTAATATATTGTATTTGAATGTTGTTTAAAGCAAGTGACTTCTACATAAAAACCTACTGCAAAATCTAGGCAGACAAGACAAATCAACTTCTAGCCTGAGTTCAGAATAGGTATCCACTTAAAAATTAAAAGTCAAAACTTATTGTTTGAAAAGCTGTATTACTGTAACACACCCCAGAAACCACAGTCTGTAGGTTTTAATAATTGAGATATGAAGGGAGAGCCACCTAATGACCTCCTCCTCCTCTTGCCATGTTGCAGCAGTTGTGGTGCACGAAGGATGAAGATCAGGTCCTCAGCCTTTTCCAGACATTTGGAATTCACTGGGGAAAGGCAGCCTCTCTGTACACTGCTTACTCTGACACCCACCTTCTCATCCCTCATGATACAACTTCACACTATCCTCAGGGCAATGAATCCAAACAGTGCCCAGAGCTTAATACAAGTGCTGTTTGTTCTGTTTCCAAGAAGTCTCAAAAAGTCTGAGAAACAAATTATTGAAAACAAATTACATGGTCTTTGCAAACTACTGAAATACCAAAAATATTATCACCTGCTGAAACCTTAACCAGCTCAGCCTGTGTTTCCATCTGCAATCATTTGAAGAGAAGGGACTTCTTAAATTTTTTTCTAACTGAGCCTACCCAAACCCCAGCTTGACCCAAAGCATTCAATCTTTGCTTAGATCACTAAGAAGATTAGAGGCTGTATCTATCCACATTCAGGGTTCACAGAAAAAAAGGCATTATATAAATACCATAGCCTTGCCAGCTCCTCTATCCAAATTCATCCTCAACTGACCACAAAACAGTGCAGGAAGCCAAAACAGTGTTAGAGAAATCACAATTTAGCCACAGAATCATTGCGTGTCTTTTGTTGGAAGAGACCTTTAAGATGATCTCAAGAGATGAACCAGCATTTCTTGCATCTGTTTGAATATCATCAAGGGCTCCATAAAATGACAAAAAAATGCAACTGACTCACTCACTACAATTCAGGTAGGTTTGGCAAAACCATTTTGGCTAGATCAGTGCTGGAAGCTTCATCAAAACACCAAGCCTGCTGCTGGAATTAAGATTCAAAAGGCAAAAAGTGGTTTCCCTTGCAATCACCTCGGGCAGAGGGCCTGTATGAACACGCTCCAGAGAAGAGGGGATTTCTTTTTCCCGTGGGCCACAAAGACAATCTATTGATATTATGCAAAAGATACCCCCAGCCTGCAAAAGCCAGGCTTGTTAAGTGTTTTGGGAACCTTGGTGTGTTAGACTTAAAAGATTTACCTATTTTTTTTAAGCAACAAGGAGAAATTAACCCACAGACTACTGAACATGCAACTGTATCAGGTATCTGCCTCATCCTTTGCAACAGGACACTGCAACAGGTTCAGAAAAATAAAGCTCAGTTTGAGATACCTTCCCCAGTCAAGGCTGTCTTCTGAAAGATTTTCTCTCTGTGCAGACAAACTAGACCCTGTGATTAGACTTTTCTTTTTTTTTAATATATAACCTCTTACCAAGACAGCAAACACCCTGTGTACCTGTAAAACTCAACCGAGCGTTTTGCTTTGGTTTATCACTCAGAGTAGCACTAAGGGATGGGCTGTTTGGAGGAATAAGAAGTGTTTTGACAAGAGCCTGTGAGATGTTTCCTCCTGCTAGGACCACCCCAGTGTGTAGGACACAGGACCTGGGCACGGTGCAAGTCCTGAGGTGGCTTTCACGACACCTGGAGCCAGCTTGCCTGCTCCCTCCCACCTCACAGCTCCTCTCAAACTGGCAGGCAGAGATTTGCCACTGGCTCCACCACTGGTGACACTGCAGTGGCCAAGGGGTACCTGATCGCTCTGAGAAAGGACTTCGGGGGAACACTAGCAAGGTAAGACTGTGATAAGATAAAAGGAATTGGAGCAGAGTTAGCTATTAATCCACAAAAGAAATTCATAGAAAGTAGAAACTTTCTATGAAACAACAGAAAGTTGCCCTTCCCAGAGAGATACCTGCAGAAGCTTTGTAACTTTTTCAGTTGATACTTTAAATGATCATTTGCAAGTGCTGTGGAATATCCAGTTGCTTGACATGCAAGCTCCTAAGTAATTTTACCCACCTTAAGGAAAAGCAGGTTTTGTGGAAGTTGAGGAAAACTGCTAGGCTGCTGGTGTCAAGCACATCTACCTCATTATTTAAGTGTTCTCCAGCAATCTGGTAAGGCTTTCCCCTCATACTGGTATTTGTTTGATGTT